AACTGAGTTTGACACCTGTGGCCTAGCCATACCTCAATCTGCCCCTCACAGTAATGTAGAACAGTTCCGACCGCAGCTGTATCCCTTCTTCACACTGAATGGCTGGAAGTTAATGGGAATTATTAATATAACTTATTCAATTACCCATTAAATTATAGTTTATTATTGTCTACCCCTAAACTAAGCCTCACAGTAATGTAAAAGCGGTCATTATACCGAGTATTATTAAATTACCAATTATATTAACGCCTATCCATAAATCAACCCTCACAGTAACATAAATACAGTCATAATGCAGATTATTATTCATATTATTTATTAAATTTCACATTAAATTGTATTTTATTAATGTCCACCTCTAACTTAACCCTCACAGTAATGTTAAAGTCTTCATTATTGTTGTACAGCGCCACAAAAAAATTCAATATTGATGAGTATCCACAGCTGTATCCCTTCTAGACTTGACCGACGTTCCTCCGAAGGTAAGCTACTATAATCTAGTGCCCTTAAAAGTGTTGTGTGCTGAATTAAACGCAGCACGCATGCTTCTGGGTTTCCTCAGAGTGTGTTAAAGGCTGGTTTGTGTGGGAGAGCAGATGATCCGCAGTGCTCCGCATTTATCCTGTGGGATCGGGACGCTCTCGGGATCCTGATCTCCGGCCTGTTGGAGGAGCGTGTGGGGTCTCGCCGTGTGCTCCGAGAAACAGTACACGCAGGTCTCAGTGGCCCGCGGCCGGTCCTGAGGATGATGATGATGATGGTGCACGCTGCCCTCCTCCTGAGACACTTCATCAGACCCAGCCACCAGAGAATCTGCAGGAAACATCTCTGATTATTATTACGTGACCTGTTTATAACAGATTTGAGGTGAGTGGCTTGAGTGAGGAGGTATTTAAAAGCTCATTTAAAGCAGGAAACTTGTGTAAGGGAATAAACAGATATACATTTAATTAAGTGATGATACAAGAGTCTCTGTCCTGCCTGCATTTATGAGCAACAAAAGTCCATGTAGTGAATAAGCTCATGTGGTGTCCACTTCATTTCAATTTCCTTCTGCTTAGTCTTTGATTTAATAGAGGTCCCCACAGTGCAATGAACTGCCAACTATTCCAGCATATGTTTTATGCAGTGGATGCCTATCCAGCTGCAACCCAGCACTGGGAAACACACTCATCCACGACGGCCAATTTAGTAGATCAGTTCCCCTATAGCGCATGTGTTTGGACTGTGGGGGAATCCGGAGCACCCGGAGGAAACCCATGCCAACACGGGGAGAACATGCAAACTCCACACAGAAATACCAATTGACCCTGCCGGGACTCGAACCAGTGACCTTCTTGCTGTGAGGTCACAGTGCTAACCACTGAGCCTCCAGATTGTGGATTTCTCTACTTGGACTTTTTCTGTCAAGGGTTGACAGAAGTTTTTTCACTGAAGTAAACTGATTTTTCCTCCAGATTGTCTGATGAAGCATCTCGGGAGTCAGAACAGGCCGTTATCATATGTTCAGCAGGGTTTATCTACTCGCATCATTATCTGGTGTAAAGAAACTGTACATTAACAATATAACACAATGCATGATGTAATATAAGGTCTGTCCTGATCCAGGTTTGATCCTTTCTTTCACTGATCCTCTTTCTTTCATCCTTGCTTTCTTTGTTTCTTTCTTTCTTTTTCATCTTTTCTTTCACTTTCTTTTATCCTTTCTTTTTCTTTTATTTTTTTCTTGCTTTGTCTTCCATTTTTTCTTTTTCCTTGTTTTTCACTTTCTTTTATCCTTACTTTTAGTTTTTTCTCTTTCACTTTTTTCTTTCTTTCATCCCTTTACTTTCTTTTACTGATCCTCTTTCTTTGATCCTTTCTTTCTTTCTGTCTTTCACTTTTTTCATCCTTTCTTTCTTTGATTGTTTCTTTCACTTTCTTTATTTTATCCTTACGTTTTCTTGTTTTCTCTTTTCTTTTTCATCCTGTCCTTTATTCTTTCTTTCACTTTCTTACTTTTTTTATCGTCTTTCACTTTCTTTGATTCTCTTTCTTTCATGCTGCCTTTCTCTTTTTTCTTTCGCTTTTATCCTTTTTTAAAAACTTTACTTTAATTTTTTTGTTTTATCCTTTCGTTCTTTTGCTTTTTCTCTTCTTTCTTTTATCCTGCATTTCTTTCTTTTTCACTTTCATCCATTCACCTTTTCTTTGATCGTTTTTTACATTCTTTATTTTTCCTCTCTCACTTTTTTCTTTTATACTTCTATCCTTTTCTTTCATCCTTCTTTTCTTTCCTTCTTTCTTTGATCCCTTCTTTCTTTTTCTTTGTCTTTTTCATCCTTTCTTTTCCTTTCTTTCACCTTTTCTTTCTTTCATTCTTTTTTGCTTTTTCTTTGATTGTTTTTCATTTTCTTTTATTCGTTCCTTCATCCTTTCTTTCACTTTCTTCCTTTTTTGATCGTTTTTCACTTTCTTTCCTCTTTCTTTCATCCTACCTTTCTTTCTTCATTTCTTTTATTTTATTTTATCTTTTACTTTCTTAATTTTCTTTTATCGTTTTCACTTTCGTTTATCCTTTATTTTACTTTTTTCTTTCATATTTTCACTTTCTTTCGTCCTTTATTCCATTCACCTTTTCCTTGATCGTTTTTTACTTCATCCTTCCTTTCTCTTTCACCTTTTTCTTTCTTTTATCCTTTTTCTATCACTTTCTTTGATCCTTTCTTTCACTTTATTTATTTGGTCTTTTCCTTCACTTTCGTTCTTTTATTCTTTCTCTTTCGCTTTTTTCATCCTTTTTCATTTTTTCTTTTTCTTTCTTTCTCTCTCTTTCATACATTTATTTACATTCATTTATTTATTTATTTATTTATCTTTATTACATTTCTTTTTTTTTTTGTTAATGCTATATTAGTAAGAGTGCCCCATCATTGACCTGACCTTCAGATGTCTGTTGTTTGTGCTCGTCTGGGATCTGTGTGTGTTTGTTTCTCCTCATCAGCAGCGTCAGCACAGCAGCACTCAAGCTGAACATGAGCACCGTCACACACACACCGAGCAGCGCGTACAGCAGCAGCGGAGAGCCGCTCACAGTGCGCCCTCTGCCGGTCACCGGCGGGTCTGAGGAACGGAACACACAGCACAGTCAGGTGCACGAAGTAACTTAGCATAAAGAATCACATTGACAGGGTAGCAGTACAGCCGACTCTTACTAAACACTCCGAAATCAGGAGGATATACTGGGCTACTCTCACCGAACAGCGTCGTGACAAGTTCTTTCATTACCAAACAGTATATAACTGAACTGACACTGTTTTGATTGATAATCTTCTATGTGAAGCTGCTTTGACACAATCTACACTGTAAAAGCGCTATAGAAATAAAGATGAGTTGAATTGAATTATATTCCCAACAACTGCATCAGATAGGATACTAGGCTGTTTTTTCAAGGCATCTATATTTTATATTATGTAATATATATATATATATCCACACGTACACACACACCCACCAGGCACTTTATTAGGTACACCTACAGAGAATGGTCTGAAATAGAGCAAATATGCAGTGAGCGGCAGTTCTGTGGGCGCAAATGCCTTGATGTTAGAGGTCAGAGGAGAATGGCCAGACTGGTTCCAGCTGATAGAAAGGCAACAGTAACTCAAATAAGCACTCGTTAAAACCGAGCTCTGCAGAAGAGCATCTCTGAACACACAACACGTCCAACCTTGAGGCGGATGGGCTACAGCAGCAGAAGAGCACACCGGGTGCCGCTCCTGTCAGCTAAGAACAGGAAACTGAGGCTACAATTCACACAGACTCACCAAAACTGGACAATAGAAGATTGGAGAAACGTTGCTGCTCTGATGAGTCTCCATGCTCGGCTCACAATTTGGCCTCAACAACATGAAAGCATGGATCATCCTGCCTTGTATTGACTGGCATCATGGATGTGCAGCCGACAAATCTGCAGCAACTGTGTGATGCCATCATGTCAACATGGAGCAAAATCTCTGAGGAATATTTTCAGCAGCTTGTTGAATCTCTGCCACAAAGGATTAAGACAGTCCTGAAGGCAAAAGGGGTCCAACCCGATACTAGTAAGGTGTACCTAATAAAGTGGCCATGTGTGTATGTATGTATATATATATATAATTTTATTCACCCATTTATTTATGCTTTTGAATTGCATTATGGGACTTTTTTAATTTCCTTTTTAACATTTTCATTAGTTTTTAGTCTTTCCCTGTTTCAAGGTCATTCTCTCTATTTTATTATTTTAATCACAGCTGCACTGTAAAAACAATCTTTCATCCAACTTTTAACCTTGAAATGTTTGAAAAAGTGACTTAATAACATTTTGAATAGTTTAAGAGTTCTGTTGTTGTTGTTGTTGTTGTTGTTGTTATGAGAAAGCATTAATGTAAGACCATTATCTATGTTTATTTACTCTATTTTATTGAACTGTAAAACATTCGGTGAAGAATTTTGTAGACTTTCCCCACTGAACTATTTTAATTACTACTTATTGTTTATTAATTATTTATAGTTTACATCTGATTTTTATTTTTTTATTTTTTGCTGCAATAGTCAGAATTACTCGGTGAACAGAAGTTACCTCAGTCTTGTTTATTCATTCATTCATTCATTTTCTTTTCGGCTTAGTCCCTTTATTAATCTGGTGTCACCACAGCAGAATGAACCGCCAACTTATCCAGCATATGTTTTACACAGCGGATGACCTTCGAGCTGCAGCCCTTTATTGGCAAACACCCATACACACTCACTCACACACACTCATACACTACAGACAATTTAGCTTACCCAATTCCCCTATAGCGCATGTGTTTGGACTTGTGGGGGAAACCAGAGGAAACCCACACAAACATGGGGAGAACATGCAAACTCCACACAGAAATGCCCACTGACCCATGCAGCCTGGGTTCGAACAAGCGACCTTCTTGCTGTGAGGCGAATGTGCTACCCACTGCACATCAATAATGTGATAGTGTGATCTGTTCTAGAGAGCACATGTAGTGTGTCGTGACTCACCGCTGCAGATGTGTTCACAGGCCGGCGTGTGAGTCCCGCACAGATCAGAACACTGCAGACATTTCTTCAGCAGCGCATCATAAAACTGACCCGACACCGCTCTGCATCTCCACACCTCTGAAAACACACAGCACAACTCACAAGCTGTTGCAGAAAGATCAAGATTCTATACCGTCAATCAAAAAGGGGGGAAAACGCAGTAAATATAAGTAATGTAATGTGTGTTTATATAGCGCATTTATCTGTTCATACACCCAAAGCGCTTCACAATCATGAGGGGGGGGGGGTCTCTCCACTCCACCACCAGTGTGCAGCTTGAATTGGATGATGCACCGGCAGCCACAGGACTAAGTGCTTCACCACACTCCAGCTATAAGTGGAGTGGAGAGACGGTGATAGAGCCAATTCGGTGGATGGGGATGATTTGGAGGTCATGATGGGTAAGGGCTGAGGAACGGGGTTTGGCCAGGACATTACACCCCTACTCTTTATCAGAAGTGCCATGAGAGTTTTAATGAGCACAGCGAGTCAGGAGGTCGTAAATGTACTAAAAATAAAGTAAAAGTACACATTTTAAAAACTACTTAACGTACAAGAAAAAGTAAACACGTACTGTGAAGTAGTCACTGCAGGATTAAGGAAAAAAACAGTAAAATTACTCACACCCAATAAATTTACACTATATACACTGTTCAAAGTACAATTCCTGAGAAATAAATCACTCAGTTAAAGCAGGGGTGACCAGCCATGTTCCTGGAGATCTGCAGTCCTGCAGCTTTCAAGCCTCAGACCGGCCCACCTCAGTTCACGACTGACTATAGTAAAATAAGGTCATTACCCATTGAGTTTCTAATGACACGATCACGTCTTTTTAAAGGACACAGCTGCTTTAGGACCTCAAATGTTTTTCAAAAATATGAGAACGTTAAAGGGTTAAAAAAAATCTTCAACACTATTCTTTAAAACATCACAAGGCGCTTTCCTGCATATTCTGTGCAGAACTCTTTATAGATATCCAGTCCTTTGTAAAGGTGGTCAAACAAAAAATAAAAATAAAATATGTACACCTACATAAGTAACTCAAACAGTACTATATGTCTTAACACTAAAAATGAAAAAATAAATAAGTTATTTACTCAGGTTAGATTTGAACTCAGGTCAGCGGCTTGATGACGTAACGTGCTGACCACTGCACCACAAATTTCTGCGTCTGGAATTATATTGATCGCTTAATCTGTTTCTTCCCTCTTTAGATTTCTAATCAAGTTATGTCAGATTTATGCACATTATTAATGTAGTTAATCATCTGATTTTCGTTGAGCAGGTTCATATTAATGATTGGAATTATATTCACTAAGGTGCTTTTATTTATTTTTTTATTTATTTATTTTTTGCAAAAAACAGTTGACAAGTTTGTAGCAATATTTTTTTACAAAACAGAATATGAATTACATTGTCAAAGAAAAGAGATACGAGAGAGAAAGAATAAAGAACATGATATAAACTTGAGGAAAGACATTTAAGAGTCAAGAACAGTACATAAATTAAAGTCATTACGAAATGAAATAGTTCTGTTTGCTTTCTTATTTTTAGATAATGAAATTAATTGTATATAATGACTAATTTAAAAAAAAAAAAAAAAAACCCAGGAAAATATGGTTTAGTATTAGTAAATTTGCATTTGTGGATATGGAATTTACAAAGAAAATAAATTAAATTTATTACAAAACAAGCATTTCTCTTAGTAGGGGCAGATTCATAATAACCAAAAGTAATTTCTTTAAAAGTAACAGAAACATCTTGTTGTATATTATCATTAATAAATAATCCAAAATGTTTCCAAAATCGTGCAACATAATTACACTCCCTAAACAAATGAAAAACAGTTTCAGTATGAAATTGACAAAATGAACATTTTACATCAATATTAGAATTAAACTTTTTCAAAAATGGTTTGATGGGATAAAATTTGTTGATCAATTTAAAAGACACTTCTTTGACCTTGTTGGTGAGAAAATATTTTTGATGCAAAGACCATATTTTTTCCCATATCAAATCTCTATAGATATTAATCCAATAAGAGATTACAGGGGACAATGCAGCAACTTCTTCAATAAAAAGACATCTAATTTTGTAATTTCTATCTTTTTTTGTTTGAAAAACAAATTTTACCTATTAACGTTTCTGTCGGATCAGAAAGGTACACTTTTTTTAGGAGGGAGATGAATGCTACTTTTAAAGCGCATAGTAATTCCTGATGTTATTATTCACTAAGGTGCTGCTGATTCGGGTCGAGTGATAATTACGTCATCATTACCCTGCAGGCTGCATTTTGCTTACAGGGCTGGGAGAAAATAGACAAAAAGAGCAGAGCTGCGGCAAAGTAATGAATAAAAAGAGTGAGGCTATAGTCAAAAAAATTTATAAATAAAAAAAGTGCGAGTGCCTCGCGGCCAAAAAAACAGACCAACCCACCGGGAATTCTCCCGGTCCTCCCGATTAGCCAATCAGGGCCTGGTCGCAGCCCATATCAGACACACCTGCCTGTAATCATCCAGTGAAGTCCATGAGCTCCTAGTTAATTGGTTCAGGTGTGTTTGAGCGGAGTTGGAACTCTCTCGGAAGGCAGATCTCCAGGACTAGGGTTGAGCACCTCTGAGTTACACTCATGTGAGTATTTGTCATTCTTTACTTTACACCACTGTCCGTCACTTACCGCAGTATTCAGCGCACTGTTTGTGAGGCTCGGGCTCCGCGCAGCGAAGATCGCAGGACACACACTTTATCAGCAGCCGGTCCATAAACTGTCCATCCGCACAGGTGTGTGTCATCCTTTAACACACACACACTGTTTCACCACAGTGAACACACCAGCACAACACACTCTTTTAACACAGTGAATGAGTCACAGATGACTAACAGGGTCAGTGATTGACTCAAACTTCTGCTATTAATGAAACAAACCTCTAAGTGTTAATAATTGGACAGTTAAGTTTAATGTTTCATGGTTCTTGTCAGTGAAATGTGGATTTCTTGTTGAGCTGGATGGTTAATCAACATGCAGAGGCAATAAAATGGGTTATTTATGGGTTCCTCTCATATTTATGGGAAACATTTCAGTAGCTTTGACAATCAGGGATGCATATTAAAATGAAATTAAACTAAACCATATATGATACCACATGTGTATACATGCATACATATACACACACACACACACACACACACACACACATATATATATATATATATATATATATATATATATATATATGTGTGTGTGTGTGTGTGTGTGTGTGTGTGTATATGTATGCATGTATACACATGTGGTATCATATATGGTTTAGTTTAATTTCATTTTAATATGCATCCCTGATTGTCAAAGCTACTGAAATGTTTCCCATAAATATGAGAGGAACCCATAAATAACCCATTTTATTGCCTCTGCATGTTGATTAACCATCCAGCTCAACAAGAAATCCACATTTCACTGACAAGAACCATGAAACATTAAACTTAACTGTCCAATTATTAACACTTAGAGGTTTGTTTCATTAATAGCAGAAGTTTGAGTCAATCACTGACCCTGTTAGTCATCTGTGACTCATTCACTGTGTTAAAAGAGTGTGTTGTGCTGGTGTGTTCACTGTGGTGAAACAGTGTGTGTGTGTTAAAGGATGACACACACCTGTGCGGATGGACAGTTTATGGACCGGCTGCTGATAAAGTGTGTGTCCTGCGATCTTCGCTGCGCGGAGCCCGAGCCTCACAAACAGTGCGCTGAATACTGCGGTAAGTGACGGACAGTGGTGTAAAGTAAAGAATGACAAATACTCACATGAGTGTAACTCAGAGGTGCTCAACCCTAGTCCTGGAGATCTGCCTTCCGAGAGAGTTCCAACTCCGCTCAAACACACCTGAACCAATTAACTAGGAGCTCATGGACTTCACTGGATGATTACAGGCAGGTGTGTCTGATATGGGCTGCGACCAGGCCCTGATTGGCTAATCGGGAGGACCGGGAGAATTCCCGGTGGGTTGGTCTGTTTTTTTGGCCGCGAGGCACTCGCACTTTTTTTATTTATAAATTTTTTTGACTATAGCCTCACTCTTTTTATTCATTACTTTGCCGCAGCTCTGCTCTTTTTGTCTATTTTCTCCCAGCCCTGTAAGCAAAATGCAGCCTGCAGGGTAATGATGACGTAATTATCACTCGACCCGAATCAGCAGCACCTTAGTGAATAATAACATCAGGAATTACTATGCGCTTTAAAAGTAGCATTCATCTCCCTCCTAAAAAAAGTGTACCTTTCTGATCCGACAGAAACGTTAATAGGTAAAATTTGTTTTTCAAACAAAAAAAGATAGAAATTACAAAATTAGATGTCTTTTTATTGAAGAAGTTGCTGCATTGTCCCCTGTAATCTCTTATTGGATTAATATCTATAGAGATTTGATATGGGAAAAAATATGGTCTTTGCATCAAAAATATTTTCTCACCAACAAGGTCAAAGAAGTGTCTTTTAAATTGATCAACAAATTTTATCCCATCAAACCATTTTTGAAAAAGTTTAATTCTAATATTGATGTAAAATGTTCATTTTGTCAATTTCATACTGAAACTGTTTTTCATTTGTTTAGGGAGTGTAATTATGTTGCACGATTTTGGAAACATTTTGGATTATTTATTAATGATAATATACAACAAGATGTTTCTGTTACTTTTAAAGAAATTACTTTTGGTTATTATGAATCTGCCCCTACTAAGAGAAATGCTTGTTTTGTAATAAATTTAATTTATTTTCTTTGTAAATTCCATATCCACAAATGCAAATTTACTAATACTAAACCATATTTTCCTGGGTTTTTTTTTTTTTTTTAAATTAG